CCGCCGCAAACGCCTCGGCGACCCCGCGGGGCTCAGTCGTCGCCGCGCCCAGGAGCTTGAGCGCCGAGCCGGCCTCGACCCCGAGCTCGGAGCCCCGCGGGCAGCGCCCGCCGCCGGCCCCACCCATCCGGGCCGAGGAGGCCGCGACCATGGCTGAGATGGAGGAGCGGAGCCTGGACAACTTCTTCGCCAAGAGAGACAAGAAGAAGAAGAAGGAGCGGAGCAACCGGGCGGCGAGCGCCGCGGGTTCGGCGGGCGTCGCCGGCGGGAGCAGCGGAGCCGCGGGCGCGGCGGGCGGTGGGGCGGGCGCGGGGACCCGGCCGGGCGACGGCGGGACCGCGGGCGCGGGGGCCACGGGCCCCGGGGCCGCCACCAAGGTTGTGACAAAGGTGAGGGGCCAGGGAGACTGGGAGTCGGGGCCCGGGCCGCGCGCTTGCGCCCATGTGCCCGCCCCCGCCCGCCTGCCTGCTTGCCTGCCCGGGGAAACCGGCCGGGGCCCGGCTGGAGGGCTGATGGGCGCGGAGGCTGCCACGTGACGCGGGCTTCCCACGGCGGGCCGCCTCGCGCTCCCCGCTGGACCCCCGACACCCCGCTCCCGACCCGCGTCGCTTGGCTCGGGCGAGGACGCAAGCTGGCGGCGGCACCCTCCCGGGGAATCGGCCCGGGTCGGAAGTGCATCTATCGAATGACGTCTACTCTGAGTAATTTAGCGTTCTGATTTCAGACCAGTAGTCTGAGCTGAATTTTCTAACAGTCACATTTGTGGCAGCTCTAACTGGCACGACTTCGTCCCGAAGCCCGTAAAAGAAAAGTCTCATGGCAAGATTGAGCTAGACTTTAGTTGTGGGCTTCCTGTTGATTTCATCTGGCGTTTCCTGGTTGCTTTTAAAGTAACAGGTCTCATGAAGGAACGCGGTGGAAGTAAAGTTTACTCACGTCCTCCAGCCTAGTTGGCCTTGGGATTGAGCAAGGGCGTTGGCCAGAAAACGAGTCCACACTTTAGGTTCCAGCCGCTTCATCCCTTTTTCACATTCTGATAGTTGTCTTAGTTGTGTTTTTACAAATAGCTTTAATTGACTAAGGGGTACCTGTTTTACAGGATGAAGATGAGTGGAAAGAATTTGAGCAAAAAGAGGTTGATTACAGCGGCCTAAGAGTTCAAGCAATGCAAATAAGGTATGGTCTGGTTATAGATGTGCTTAGATAACTCAAGGGATAGATACCGTATGTTTGGGGTTTTTTAGCCCCAAAACAGCATCACAGTACTCTTGTGCTTTAGATATGCTTATTAGGACTTTAATGGATTGTGCCTATTCCTCTGATGGCAGCCCTTCTGTATGCTGATCAAATTAGCTGCCAGCTCTAAAATCCTGTGAGAGCTTGCCTGCTTCAAATCTTGGTTAGGCCTTTTTGAGACAGCTAAAATGGATTTTGTGGTTTCAAAATTTTTACTTTTAATATTGGTGGGTCGAACTTAGTTTTTCTTTTTGTTTCAAAAAATAACGGGTGATTTTCAGATCCTCTGTGACAGACAAGTTATATATGTATTCGTAATTGAAGCATAGTTAGAGGGAAATAACAGATTTTTACAAACAAGTTATATATGTATTCGTAATTGAAGCATAGTTAGAGGGAAATAACAGATTTTACGTATTCACACAGTGAAACCAACTTGTGTAATTAGCACTGAGGTCAAGAAACTGAACATTACTGGTAGAGGAGAAAGCCCCCTCGTAGTCACTGTTTTCACCCCTCAAATAACCACTAACTTAACACTAGATTAATTTTCCTAGAAATTTATAGAAATGGAATCATAGTCTAAGTACATTTTTAAAGTTCAAGAAAACAGTAATTTCTGAAAATTGGATTGGTTGGCTTAGAGAGTTTGAAATTAACGTATTTTATCGAGTCCAGTCTGTGGTAGTCACATGAACTTTACATTCATGTAAATAAATGTCATGTTTTTGAGGGTCTCATGAAGTAGAAAATCCATTGGTTTAGATTAAAAACCCTTTATTCTAAATTTCAAGAAATAAGTGATCCCTGGGAATTCCCTGGCAGTCCAGTGGTTAGGACTCAGCACTCTCACTACCAGGGGCCTGGGGTCCATCCCTGGTCAGGGAGCTGAAGTCCCGCATGCCACACAGCACAGCCAAAAAAAGAAGTGAACCCGATGCACTGCCTTCCAGTTTGAAGTCTGTGATTTATATATGCCCGTGACTTCCTGGCACAGTGGAGGAAATACTTTTCCTTAACAAAATACTGTCTTTTGACCTCTCTAGATGGTAACATTTATGGTGTTAAATAACTTATTAAAAAACCAGGGCTAATTTTTATGACATTTGTTGGATACTTACCACAACTAGGCATTCATGTCCTAGGTTCTTTCACGTCGCTGTGTGAGCTTAAGCAAAGTGAAACCTGATTGATAGTGGGAAACTTTTAGGAAATGCAGCTTCCCCACATTTGAAATACCTTCCGTGGTGGTGTGAAGTAGAGGCGATTAGACTGGAGGTTTATTCCCAGCCACTTCTTGGCTTCCTTCGTGTGTTAGATGTTTTTTGTTTTTGTTTTTTGTTTTTTCTTTTTTTGGTTGTGTTGGGTCTTTGTTGCTGCGCATGGGCTTTCTCTAGTTGCCGCGAGCGAGGGCTACTCTTCGTTGTGGTGTGCGGGCTTCTCACTGCAGTGGCTTCTCTTTGTTGCGGAGCATGGGCTCTAGACACACAGGCTTCAGTAGTTGCAGCACACAGGCTCAGTAGTTGTGGCACGCGGGCCCTAGAGTGCGCGAGCTTCAGTAGTTGCGGTGCACGGGCTTGGTTGCTCTGTGGCATGTGGGATCTTCCCGGACCAGGGATCAAACCCATGTCCCCTGCATTGGCAGGGGGGTTTTTTTTTTTTGTGTGTGGTACGCGGGCCTCTCACTGTTGTGGCCTCTCCCATTGCGGAGCACAGGCTCCGGACGCGCAGGCTCAGCGGCCATGGCTCATGGGCCCAGCTGCTCCGTGGCATGTGGGATCTTCCCGGACCGGGGCATGAATACGTGTCCCCAGCATCAGCAGGCGGACTCTCAACCACTGCGCCACCAGGGAAGCCCAGACCAGCTTTTTTGTACTGCATTTTTCATTATTTAGCATCTAGTCATTGCCCCTAAGTGGCCATCCAGAGATCTTTCTCTTACCTGCTAACATTGAGAAACATACCTTCTTCAGGAAACTGCTTTTGTGGATTCTCAGTCACTGTGGAGTCTGGGGTCTGTCTCCGTTGCCTTCATAAATCAACAGAGGGGAATCTAATGGCTTCCAGGAAAGGCTCGAGAGTGAGAAGCCATCAGAGGGTTAATAATAATGACAAAAACTTTCACTTTATACAGCTGACGCTTGAACAACATGGGTTTGAACTGCATGGGTCCACTTATATGCAGATATTTTTCAATAGTAAATGCTGTATTACACGACCTGCAGTTGGTTGAATCTACCGATACAGAGGAACTGCAGATGAGGCATGTTAACACCCCTGTTGTTCAAGGGTCAACCATGTACTGAATATCTTTATAAACTTTGTATTAAATGTTCTTGACATTGAAACTCATTAGGAGTGGGAGTCTACAAGGAAAGACACATAGGTTCAATAGAATGGGAAGTGAAGTAGGTTACTCACACAAATAGGATATAGTTGATAATGTGGCAAAAACTTGGACTTTAGGGA